CAAAGTTCAAACTCAAAGGTACAAAGTTCAAACTCATGCTGGTTTCAAAGGTACAAAGTTCCAATTCAGGCAATCCTCCTGTGCATGGTATCCAATTACAGTGAGCTTTTGGTGATTAGGATATGCATGCCAGCCCCAGGCCCAACTTTCCTGTGTATGCAATTCCTACCCACTTAACCCTTGGCTTTCCAATATTGAACAGGAAGTTCTTAACAGTGGGTTCAGGGGTTTGCATTTGTAAGCCTCTCCATGAATGGGAACTCTTGATAACACAGGGTTCCAAATAATGGAAGCTTGTTAGTATGTTCGTTCAAACATGAGTAGAATTCTCTTTCAGATCTTCCCACTCAACTTGGGGAGGAGCAAGGAGGGACAGCACACATGGAGAAACTGATGAATGACACCTGAACAAGGCTACTATCAAGCTATGAAATTCAGCTCTGTGTTAAGTATTTTAACCAATCTTTCTAAAGTTAAACTTGTTAAATAAGAAGCCAAACCAAGCCTGGAACCTTATTGACCCATCTGTCTTTAAAAAGTGAATGTTCTGCCTTCTCAGAAGCTCAGTATTCTTGGCATTTAATCATTTATGACAGATGGAACTGAAAACATCATGACTGAGGCAACAGGTAGAAGAAATAACCAGGCACACAGCAACTATGACACCAAAAACAAGCCACCAAGACTAGTGGGAACAAAATATCTGTATATTATTACTATTATTGAAGCAAATGTGGCTTAAAGGGTTTTAAAAATATATTTGTAGCAGTAGCACTTTGGTTCAGAAAAGATGTCAATTCTTACAAATTTCATAGGATAAAAAGGTGGCACTGCATAATTTTATCCCTGCTTACTCAGAAGTACCGTATTTTTCGCCCTATAGGACGCACTTTTCCCCCTCCAAAAATGAAGGGGAAATCTGTGTGTGTCCTATGGGGCGAATACAGGCTTTCGCTGAAGCTTGGAGAGCGAGAGGGGTTGGTGCGCACCGACCCCTCTCGCTCTCCAGGCTTCAGGAAACTATCCGCAAGCCTGGGGAGCCCGCGGGAGTTCCCGCAGGGCTCCCTAGGCTGCGGATAGTAGCCTGCCGCCCGGCACGCAGGGCGCCCTGAAGCAGAGCGCCCAGCGCACCGGGCAGACATTGGCCAGCCCCACAAGCTCGGGGGACAGTGGGGAGGCGCAGCGCCGCCATCCCGCTGTTCCTCGACCTGGTTTGGGGGGGAAATAAAGGAAAAAATTTTTTCCTTTATTTCCCCCCAAAAAAACTAGGTGCGTCCTATGGGACGGAGCATCCTATGGGACGAAAAATACGATATGTCACATTGAGATTTAGAAAATTGTTTTGGATTTTTAAAATTATTCTCAGCTTCATTCAAGAGACTGAAGCTGTGTGAGACAAGGTGAACGCCATATACAGTAGCCAGTAAAATGCATTATTTGCTCAACTAGTTTCATTTTCATTATAAAACAATCCCATTGTTATTTACCTGCATCATAAATGTATTGTTTATGTGGTAAATACCGTATTTTTCGCTCTATAACACGCACCTGACCATAACACGCACATCGTTTTTAGAGGAGGAAAACAAGGGAAAAAACATTCTGAATGAAACAGTGGATGTATCATTTTTGTGCTTCATGCTGTGGCCACAGACATGTGATCTGATGGTGAATTTGGGGTGACCCAATGCAAAAATCCTGAGAATTCCTGTGGATCCATGCTTTGTAACCACGTTTTTGCACCATTGCAGCCCCAGGCAACAGTGGGTGCGTGATTTTTTGGGTGCAGGCTGTAGCCATGGACATGCTATGTGATCTGATGGTGAATTTGGGGTGACCCAATGCAAAGATCCTGAGAATCCCTGTGGATCCATGCTTTGTAACCACATTTTTGCACCATTGCAGCCCCAGGCAACAGTGGGTGCGTGCTTTTTTTGGGTGCAGGCTGTAGCCATGGACATGCTATGTGATCTGATGGTGAATTTGGGGTGACCCAATGCAAAGATCCTGAGGATCCATGTTGATCTATGCTTTGTAACCACATTTTAAGTGGGGAGCGAAGGAAAAACAAAGAAGGGACATGAGAGGGGTGTGCAGAGAAGCAGCTGGCTAAGAATGCTGGAGAGGGATTTAACGGGTGGGAGGAAAGAAAGGCAAAAGTTCCCCCCCAAGCCAGCCATCTCTCTCTCTCTCTCTCTCTCTCTCTCTCTCCCTCCCTCCCTCCCCCCTCTCTCTCCCTCCCCCCCTCTCTCCCTCTCCCTCCCCCCCTCTCCCTTTCCCTCCCCCACTCTCTCTCCCTCTCCCCCAGCAGCACCGGAGCACAGAGAGGAATTAGAAAGAACGACACTCTGCTTGCCTGGAGGGGAGGGGCTTTCCCTGCTCTTTGTTCCGTTTCAGCAATCACAGCAACGAAACAGAGGAGGGTGGGCAGTAAGACCCTGAGGCAAAATGCAGAAAAGCTGCCACTTCCTCTTTTCAGGTTTCCCTTCTCCGTGACTCGCAATTTGACTTTTGCTTGATTTTTTGGCTCCAGGGACCACACATTCGCTCTATAACACGCACAGACATTTCCCCTTCCTTTTTAGGAGAAAAAATCTGCGTGTTATAGAGGGAAAAATACGGTAATTGTGTTCAGAGACTCTGACATATCACATCTGCTTGATAACTAGTCTTCTCAGCAGCAGAGAACAAATTGCTAAATAAGTATTGTCATGCCACTAGCTTCTGAAGAAAATTAAAACGATGTGTATTGATCACGGAAACAATAAGCATAGCAAAGATGCCACCCTCCCACCCCCCGAATTGACAGTTCACTGTGAAGAAACGTAACAGGCTATGCTGTGGGATTTAAAAATAAAATCAGCTGTAGCAAAGCACAGCTGTGAGAAATTAAGTACCATTTATGCAGCCCTATGATGTTTCTGTAAGCTGCCCCTCCTAAATGTTACATTATCTGAGGAACTGCACTGAATCATCATTATGCTCAATTCTTGAGTAGAAGTTTGCTAGTGGTAGAATTTTTCACAACTTTTGCCTTAAAAAAAAAAAAGGATTGAAGTTAGTTTTTAAAATCTTTGGCACCCCATTCCCCCCATCCCAGTATTTGTTATATTTACTACTTCCTATTCAATAACATGGGACGCGGGTGGCGCTGTGGGTAAAAGCCTCAGCGCCTAGGGCTTGCCGATCGAAAGGTCGGCAGTTTGAATCCCTGCGGTGGGGTGCGCTCCCGTTGCTTGGTCCCAGCGCCTGCCAACCTAGCAGTTCGAAAGCACCCCCAGGTGCAAGTAGATAAATAGGGACCGCTTACTGGCGGGAAGGTAAACGGCGTTTCCGTGTGCAGCTCTGGCTCGCCAGAGCAGCGATGTCACGCTGGCCACGTGACCCGGAAGTGTCTCCGGACAGCGCTGGCCCTCGGCCTCTTAAGTGAGATGGGCGCACAACCCTAGAGTCTGTCAAGACTGGCCTGTACAGGCAGGGGTACCTTTACCTTTATTCAATAACATATTAGATTCTCATTCCTCTGCAGAGAGTGCTCTCAGAGAGTGTTTTTTATTGGAAGGTGTATTCCTTCCAATATTTTCTGCTGCCTTGTGTGGCACCTAAAATGAACTTTTCCTGTACAAGGCACTGGCATACAATTAGTAATATGTATGTTCATTAAGAAGTCTTTCTTAAAAGGACAATTATTAAGGATATCCTAGAACAAAACGATTCACAGAATAAAGGTGAAGGAACTGGTCTATAGTATTGCCAGGGTACATCACAACTACAAGCATACTGTTTCTGTGGTATAGTGTCTGCAGCAAGAATGGCTGCATTTGTAAATCTACTAGACAGAAGAATATACCACTTCAGAATGAGCATATACTGCTTCTAGCCAGCATATGACATTTTGTACTTTATTATGCCCATATTTAAAGAAATGCAATAATGTTACTAAATAAAGTTTTTGAATATGAGATTTTGGAATTTTATAAAAGGAGATTGTTAGATCAATAGACATTTGGGCTGTACACTGGAGTCAGCTGAGTCCTTAGCCAAAGCGGGTCTGTTTTGGAGGGACTTGGAATAGAATGATTTGGTTACAGACAGCCATGAAGTGTATATGCAGCCAGGAACCCTGCCTTTAATAAAGTCTAAAAATGGCAGTAAGAATAAACTTTTAATAATGTCTGAAAATGGCCATGAGAATAAGCAATTACAACAGAATGGAATCTAGGTTGAATGTCAAATTCACAGAATCCTTGGTAATATCATGTCATGTGCTTCTTTTGACCTGGCGACACAATGAAAGTTGCAAATTGTTACTAAAGATGGATCCTGGCACTGATGTCACACAGCCTAGTTGGTAAGCAAGCTCTTTGAGTAACTATCAGCAACTATCAGCTTTGGCTCATTTTGGTTAGCCCTCTTTACTAACCCCAATGTTCATCCCATGCTTCCAGCCTGGTAGCATATCTCCAGATGTGCCAATTTTTCTGTTGACCTGGCAGCATCATGTCTTGTTTTGTACTGTGGAAGGGAGCTGACTCTTCAACCTACATGCTACATTGTCTCCTACTTTCACAACACTTAAAAACACAGAATTACAGAACTGTAGAGTTGGAAGGGACCCTGGGGGTCATCAAATCCAACTTGCGTTCATTGATCCAGAATGAAGGTAAAAAAAGCACATTGCCTCTCATGATTACAACATAAAGGCTGCTAGCATTTACCACTCATACATACAGGGAACTGCATTTCTGGTCTGGATTTCCCCTTTAAACCCTGGCCTTTTTGTGTAGGAAAATTGGATTATTTAAGTTTGTTAAATCCAAAACACATTAATAACAGCTTGGCAGAAGCTTTATGTATTTCTCCTTTGCTTTCTTTTAGCCCCCATTAAAAATAAGTTATTCTTAGGTCTTTACTTCAGTATATATAGCATTAGGTTGCATATATGCATACAGTTTTATCTGTACATATTAATTAAGACCAATAAATAAATAAATCCTTACCTTGGAGGGCCTGAAGAGTACGTGTCTGTACAACAATGCAGAGCTGGAGGACCAGTTGTGGGGCACTTTCTAGAAATGTAGCAAGCAAATGCAGCATACTCACATCTGCATACTCATAGACCATTTTCCAATAAAAGCGCCATCTGTCACTATCCCCACTCTGTCTACTTCGGATGCCCAAGTAGATAGTGTGAAAATACCTAAAAAGAAGTGAATGAAAGGTATTTCAAAGGATGGTATTTTTACTCTAATGTAACACTAATAAACTCTCTGCATGCAAGTATTTGTAAATTGTAGATTGCAAAATCATGGAGAGGGAGCAGACTTCAAGATTAAATTAATATATCATTCAAAATCAGAATAGTTTAGTAAAGCCTTTGACTTATGCTACCAATGAGAATCAGCCAAAGGAACCCTCTTCTGTACATGCACGGGGAGGAGTCTATTCCAAAAACTAGAAAAAAGATCAAACAAGTGCACACTTTTACAGACCAGTCTCATCACTGAAGTATTATTATAAAAGTTGGCTAGAAAGCTCATCAGGTAAATTTGAACACTAAAGCAATTTTTAATCCACCAAATTTGAATTCAGTGGGGCTTACTTCTGCATAGACATGCATAGGATTGCACTGAACAAATATTTTCAATTATTCTGAAACCGCTTTTAGTTTTCTTCTCGGGCTGTAAGGATGTAAACCTCAGTGGGGCAGTAAGGGGGGGGAATGGATGTTCTGTTCCCTGTCAGCCAACCTTCCCAGATTCATGTACTGGGCTTTCGGAAAGGAGCCGCAAGGCTCTGGCAGGGTCCTAGAGCGCTCTGGCCTCTTTCCCAAAGCTGACGAAGTGCTAAGTAGGCTTTGGGAAGGGGTGGGAAGGTGCCCCTTTGGCTCGCCACACTGTGCAGGGAAAACCTGTTGCACTGCCCTAAATCACCCATGTGCTCAATATGGATCGGTCTTGTGTAGCCTGGCCCAGAATTAATCTGGAGTTACCAGATCTTTCAATAAATGATTGACTTTCAGCTTCTTTACCAAATTATATGCTATGCCTATGAGATGCTCTCTTCAACCTTTTTATAGCAAGATGTTACTAAATAAATATGCTACATAGTAGTAGATAGAATAGTGGAAAGACAACCTACTTTGCTTTCTTACAAGTCAAGCAAATGGTGTACTATGACCATTTGCTTGATTTGAAATTGCTATGAAGATACAGTTGACTAGAACAACATTTGCATTCTACAGAAAAATAGAAATGTACTGATTTCATGCCTCATACGCTCTGATATTTATGACAGCCACCCAAGTCAAGAGAGGGCAATTGCTTATAATATATAACATATTGAAACATTTATGAAAAGATCAAATATTACTAATGGCTTGTTACAGATACAGGAGACGCTTATTCCAATGTCTAATTTGCTTCCTGCACCAAACAGTACATTAAACAATTTAGCTACACCATAAACAGTTACTCTTTCTACCATCTCATAAGTACAGAGAATAAAAATCTCTACAGCTGGGATTTAAAAATAAAAAGTAAACAGCAATTCAGGTAAGTGGTGTTTTTTTCCAGTTGCCTAGCTACCAGGAAAAAAACCTATGCTGTATTTTTAGCTCAATGGAAGTGACTGTTTAGATAAAGATATATTGTCCTATTTTCTTTCCGAAGTATTTGCTTATTAGCTGTACCTGAATATAAAAGTGTGGGGGAGTTAAAAAATGAACACATCTTACCATAAATACGTAAATAAATCTATACTAGAGAACCAGTTTTATTGGCATCTTAAACACTTGGTATTATAACCTTCAATCTAAATTGAGGCTGAAAAAATGTTAGTGTTATATTTAAACAGGAAATGTAGCCATGAAAATGATCTGTGACAAAGAATGACCCAAAATTTGTAGGAGTATCACATTCACAACATTCCTGGCAATTAAGCAACATAGAACTAGACTATGTTTTCTTTCACTATTAAGAGGATTATAATGAAAAAATAAAAGTTTGTTCTTTGTCTACAACAACTCCTACCACAACCCGACTTTACTGGGCTAAAACTTCTGCAGGCAGAAGTGACCAACTAGAACATGCAAACTTCAGGGTCTGAAAATAATATGCGGAATAAAATTCTAGGATTCTATGACCTCTGGTTTCACAAAAGAGTTATGGTGCTTATAAATTCCACCAAGGCACCAAAGAAAGTATGGAAAAAGTGAGCTACCAGTCTTAACTTCAACACTATGGAAATTGAAGCAAACCGCAAACCAAAAACCCACACATTTGATTTGACTGTCTCACACACTGTTCTCACCGACAGTTTAGCCTTCAGCCCCAATCCTCTTCCTCTGGACATCATTGACACTGGGGTGGAATGGGGGAGGTGTGTGGCCTGTTGTAAGAACAAGCCTAATGAATCACACCAAAGGCATTTCTAGATGCCTTGCATAATCTTTCTGAAAAACATGTTACCTGTTTGATCAGTTTTGTATTATGTGCTTGGAATCATCTGTGGGGAAGTGCTGTGGGTAGGGGGTGTTACGATATAGAAGCAATGCACCCGCGAGCTGCTGGTAGCTTGAAAGCAAAACAAAATGGGAATGTTGGGACTGTCCGTGGGAAACAGAGGGACAGTCTATTCACAGTGCGAAGCGCCGGAATTAGCTCAGAGTGTAATATGAGCTCTTCCTCTTGTTCCTGTACAGGAAGTGCAGGAAGTGTTTCTCTCTCGACTGCTGGAATTTGAAGAGAGCAGTCATGTTTTTTTGTAACGCTGCAAAGACAGAAATAAAGGCGTGAAAATACGTTTTCTGTCTATCTCTTTCCCCTGCCGGGGGGGGGCAGGAAAGAGGGGTGTGTTCTTCTCACGCTGAGAAGGATCGCCTATCACGACCTCTGCCTGGATCTTGCTGGGGAATGCAGACAGGGAGGTCAACAGGAGATCAAGCCGGGTGCCTGGAGAGTTGCCAGTTTCTCCTGATAAAGGCTTGATTCCCGACATTGGGAGCCACTATGCAGAGTGAGTCGGCAAGACATTTGAAGGAGAAGAGAAATCCAGCATTTCAGGTCTGCTTCACCTGATCCTAACATGGTACTCTGAATAATCAAGCTACCCTCCCCCCCCCCATAGGTCTTACAAGGCTGCTATTTAATGATCCTGAATGAGGAGACGGACTTTGCTTGTGTCACCAAGATTTGAAAGGACTAAAAAGGTAGAGCTCCCCCCCCCCCCCAGACACAGACTTTAGGTTCAGGAAAGGGCTGTTGCTGTTGTTTATAGGGATTTCATCTCCCACTCCAGGCTCCCTATCAGATTGGGTGCACACTTTAAGTATCTGTACCTGGTGCTGAGAACAAGGGACAAGGTAGGGCTGCTGTTGGTGTAGTAATCGTCCTGCAAACAGCACACATGATACAAAACAGTAAACGGGGGAAAATGTAACCCAAAATGATGTTGTGCATGACCAAGAACATGGTCAGAAACAGATAACTTCACCTTCAATGCAGAAGCTTTTAACTGCTAGAACTGTGCCATTTCCCCCTCAGTTTTTAGCCAGACTATATCTCTTACCAATAAATTCTCAGTGAATTCCACCCCCCCCCCAATGAATATAAGAAATTATCCTGATGCTATGAAAAACAAAAAAAATGAATGTGTCATAATGCCAGGATGCTGAAAAGGATGCTGAAACTATGCAGCTGCATAAAAATAGGTCTAGTCACTGCCATCATGCAGAAAGTGCCACATTTCATTATGCAGTGGAGGTTACCCAGTGACAGACACACATTATAATACCTAGAAGTGGCCTGCTATATCTAGCTTATAGAATTGGAAATGAATGGGGGGGGGATATTTTAACTTGCTATAATTATTTGTTTCATTTTACTAGAAATCAGTGCTCTTGGATTTTCTGTCACCTGAGACCGAAAACTCCAATATCCAAATTTACTAACTAGAAAACCAAGTACTGTCAGTAGCATGTTGAACCTAGCAGTATGTCATCCATAGAAGAAAGCAGTCGGAGGAGCGTAGGTGCTCGCAAAGATATACAAAAGAATGGCTCACATGACACTTGCGATCCCCCCAGCTCTCAATGTTACTTTACCTCCCTACTTTTTTTTGTTAGGTATTAAATAATGAAAAATGTGTTTTAGCGGGAGTGGGTCTGAAGGGTTAGGTTGCATCATTCAATTCAATGATGAATTTGTAAGCTAATGGCATCAGCTATGCTCCACAGAAGATTTACCAGGGAAAACCCTTGAATTTCTACTTGAACAATGAACTGTAAGCTGTTCCTCTGTCTTGTGATGGTAATTAATATTGTATTGCTAGACACTCCTTTTAGGCCACATTATCTTTGCAACAGTAGACATCTAGCCATTCATGATTTTATTCGCTAAAATCCACAAGTTTCTACTAAAAGAAACTTGTGATGTGCTTTCTTAGTATCATGTACTGTTAAATGCTTTTGCAATATCCACAAGTGGATTTAGGAGGATGAGTGACCTGGATCATAGACTCATCTTAAAAGACAGATCTAGAAAGGAGATAATTATCCACAAGAGGAGCTTTGCTCAAGTTCATCAAGTTTGGCCCTAGGATTTTAAGACTGTAGACATGACACAGTGGCTAATGCCAGGATAAACATATGTTCCAAATATATCATCTTTATGGCCTCTGGTTCCACTCTTCCTTAATAGAGGCAGCCCTCACTCGAAGGTGAAGGAAAAACAAGGATGATTGAGGGTAAATCATCCCTGCAAATTCCCCCCAGGGATGGGGGGAATGGACTTCACTCACAGTGAATGCAAGATGCAAGAACCTGGCTCTCACTCCAGCATGGAACATGGGGGGGGGCAGGGAGGTGCTGAGTGCAAAAGCACTTCGCCTGGTGAAAACCCTCCAATGCAGGCATTAAGAAGCAGAGGTTCTCCTGTTAATTAGAGCTTAATTGGAGTAAAGAACAGGTGTGTGCTAGAAGAGATGAAATCATAAACTGCGGAACAAGCCAACTGCAAGGACTTTAAGGTTTGAATTTAAGTTAATACTTCATTCGGTGCAAAAGACAGTGGGGAGGAGGGGAGCCTATGGTTTCTTTATTTAAAGTTTTCTTTTCTACATTTATGATTCAACAACCCTCCTCTGAATATTAGTTCAAATTATATTTGAACAAGTGAGGATGGAAGAAATTGGATTATAAAT